AACAAGAGGCACCTATTGTGGAGGAGGAATTGACGGCAGCCATAACAGCACTACTAAAAGGTAAACGTCCAGGCCCAAATGGGCTGACAGCTCAATATTAATCATTCCGACACATCCTAGCCCCCCAGCTCCTGGACATACTTAACAAGTTGCTACCTCACCCAACTCCCCCCCCCACCGATGCTAAACACATCAATCATAGTAGTACCTAAACCAGGCAAAGAACCTATTCAATGCAGCAGTTTTCGGCCTATCTCTTTGATAAATTTAAGATACTGGCCAATAGGCTCAAATCCTTTCTACCAGAACTAGTTCACCCAGACCAGGCAGGGTTTGTCACCGGACAAGAAGCCAGGGACAATGCAACACAAATCATTAATATCATGCATGTCACAGTGACCTCTAAAATCCCGACTCTCCTGCTCTCGGTCGATGCAGAAAAAGCGTTCAACACACAAAAACATAGTTTCAATTAACTGGGCATATCTATTTTCTACCTTTAGAAGCATTGGGTCTAGGACCAAACTACAGAAATTGGGTACAGACATTATATAGGGGGCCAACAGCTAATGTAAAGGTCAATGGCCAAGACTCACCCTCATTCTGGATTGGCAATGGAATGAGGCAGGGTGCCCCTTGTCACCCCTCCTTTTCGTTCTCGTTTTGAACCTTTTCTTAATGCAATCAGGGCAAATGATAGGATACAAAACTCCTGAGAAGTAGATAAAAGTCTACGCCTTTGCGGATTATGTACTACTTACCTTCACCAGCTCGAACCAGCCCCTCCCACACATTACAGCAGAAATTGACAAATTTAGTGCATGCTCTAATTTCAAAATCAACACTGACAACACTGTCAGCCAACTGCACTTCCCCTCTGACTTCCTTTTTTCTTCTGTACCCCATGTTTTTTAATCAAAACAATAAAACTTGAATTAAACAAAAAATAAATATTTATGTGGAAACATTTCCTCTACAAGGGGAATGTTCAAAAACTTACCAGAAAAAAAGGACTTTATTTAATTCTTTATTTATACATAAGAACAAGTGCAGAAACAACATGCCTGTAATGTACAATATCATTGATGGATGTAGCAGTTGAAGGTAGATGAGGTCTCACAACAACTGAACATTTTCAACATTAAAACCATTTCAACATAATTTTAAGCACTAAGGGGAAATTATACCCTTAGGAAAAGGTACATTTCATTAATATCCTCATTTTGGTCAGGGGAGGGGCAATATAAGTTAACTAAGATCCCTACATTATTACAGACAATTTATCGACAGACATTTATCACATCATTAATTTTGCATTTCACCAAGGAGATAGGAAGTACCTCAAAACCAATATATGATAACATTTTTCCAAAAGTAACCAATAATTTTGACAGTTTCTTTTCCTTCATATTAAGGATTTCAAGGGGGTTTAATAATAAAATATGTATTATTATTATTTATTTAGAGCCAACAAATTCCATAGTGCTGTACAATGGGTGGACTAGACATGTAATTCTAACCAGACAAATGGACACACAGGAACAGAGGGGTTGAGGGCCCTGCTCAATAAGCTTACATGCTAGAGGGAGTAGGGTATAGTGAAACAAAGGGTATAAGTAAAGGAAAATAGGTAGGTTGCTAGAAAAGTATTCACTGGGATACTTTTTGACAGTTGCAGGAGAGGATTAATGAGGGAGAGGAATGGGGTAATGGAGTCATGGGAAATTTGAAAGGAGACAAGATTAGTCCAAAAGGATTGCATGTTGGACACTGCAGTCACAAATTTAAAGTAACCTTTCTGGCCACAAAATTGTCAAGAAGGTTCTATAATATCATGATCCATTTTCCTCAACTAGATCGGGTTTGTGAATAACTTACTTTGGTAAACTGTTCAAATATATATATTTTTAAAGAGTAGCAAATTGAGAACCAAAGTATCAGTTTTATAAGTTAGAATAAAGTGAAAGAAATTGTATTGAATACAAACATTCAGGGATGAGACTGGCCATGAATAATTGATTTATAAGCGTGATTTCAGCCGGAACATCCATTTGCATGTTGGATAACATGTAACTAAACTTTATGCTGCTTAAGCATGCTAACTAGGAATCCAAATTTATGCATGTTTTTGTGAAGAGCAGATTTAGGGCAGAGAAAATTAGCACTGAAGGGCTTGTCAAGTGATCTTGTATTAAGAAAGTATCATACACAAAAACATAGTTTCAATTAAAGGAATACCAAGTTGCTTATATGCTGAAAAATAGCATAATTAGAGTATATTTTAGTGAAGAGCTGCATAATCACGATCACTGGCAATTGCTTTTACTTTGTGTTTTACATAGGGAGCCTTTCAAAAACCTTTTCTTCTGTTTAAAATACATAATTCCACCATTCCCTAAGTCTATAAATGTCAAGCACAAATAATTGGAGAAAGTGCTATATTTGAAGGACAGATTTACATTTAAATGGAAAATTGTTTTTTATTAAAGCTCAGTGTGTGATTTCTTTAGAATCTCAAAGAACTTCATATACAATTTTCCACCAATATCTAACTGCTCAAGAATCAACTCCAGTGTAGTTTAATAGAATGATGTATGGTTCAGACCAAAAAGGTAGTATTTTTCTATATTAGTCTTATAATCTAAATATTTGCATATATTTTTCACAAAGCAAGTCTAAAAGATTTAACCACATGGGTGGGTCTCATCATTATCATAGGTTATGTTTCACATCATGGTACTCTAGTTAATAGTGTTTTAACAATGGCACACTTTGGGGTGATTTCTAATGCAAAAAAAAAAGCATGTGCTATTCTGCTTCAAAGTGCTAAATAAAATAAATAAATACAATTCAGTTGCCATGGAAACCAATAGAAAGTCACAAAATATAATATAAGAATTAGTAATGGAAAGAAGAAACAAAATATATAAATGTTACTTTTTATCTTCTACAGGAAGATGTAGAAAACGTGATCAAAAGTAGTTCGACATCAGATGAATTCCACATTTCTGTTTGTTTAGCTTAGATATTTTAGTGACATTTTTACAATGTCTAAATTGATCTAAGATGACAATCAATTAATAGGATAGTTCTACAAGAGAATAAAACTGTAAACCCACCATTGTACATGGAATTGCTTTGAATAGACTGATTAAGAACTCTTTGTACCCACTAAATTATTAAATTAAAATCATATTCCACAAAAGCTAACTAATTGCTGTTATGTGTATATATTACAGTTTTCATCATATTCATTCAGAAGTCTAATTTATTTAGTAACATATCTTTGATTGGTTTTGTTCTTTGGTAACCAGACATATTCTAGTACCCTCCTATTAAAAACACTAAAGACATTTTTAAAACAAGTACAAATTTTACATTGTAATCTTTGTTCAAAGTTGTTCACATTTTATAAACAAAACCTGTATCAAGTGACTTTATTTTAACAAATTATTACAACATTTTTAGATTTCTTGGGGGATCGTTCTTTTCATCTTCTATGGTTGCATGCTATGTGTCATATCTATAAGCATCATCTGGTTTGAGTTATCTTGCCACTAAACAGCTCCATTATGCTCTTTGTGCACAGATATTCTATTCAATGTGTATAGAATTCTGACTTGATTTCATTCTTATACTGTTCCAGATTGTTGACCTTGGCATAGAATTTAATAAGGAACCCACTTACTGCTGCATTGTCAACAATCATGAATGGAGGAAGCTATATCTTAACATGAGAATTTTGCCTGGAGAGTGATGTCGTCATCATCAGAATAGCCCTCATCTCTAGAGCGGATTATTTCCCCCTCTTATTAAAGGAAACTTGGCATTTGCAAAAGAAAATAAATGTAATCAGCTTAAGTAATGTCATGTTAAGCAAATTCTAATACTTAACACTCACTTGATGGACACTAATTTAATGAAATTCGACTTTTTACTTCATTAAATTTTAAAATCAAATTCAAACAATTACAGAATGAAGTGATGATTTTTTTGTAATAGAAGTGACGATTTTAACTAATTACCGATGATGTCTAGGAATGGTTAAGCCATTTTACTATGGACATGTATAACTCCTACATGATGTCAGGCATCAGATAGCCAGTCCTGTCTGCCAGCAAGTGAAAGGAACATGTCCTGAAATTTATAAAGGATCTGATAAAGTAAGATGAGGATACATATGATTTGAGAAAGTCCACATACGATAACTATAACATGAAAGTTGATATAAAATCACACTTGTAACAAGGAATACAAGAACATGGTTTAAAAGTTGATAGAAACAGACTTGCCTAAGTGGCCATGGAAAACCAACACCACTTGATTGATCTAGAATAGACAGAATTATTAATTTATTTGTATATTGCAAAAAAAAAAAAAAAGATATATAATTTCAACTTATGTACAAATCAGACTGCTTAAACTGAAATGCTGCTTACAGTGACTAACATGTATGTGCCATAAAGAGAGCTTTATGATTTGCTTTTTTTTTTTCAATCATGCCTCAAGAGCATGCTAAGGTTGAATACCCAACCTTATTCCACATTCGTTTACATCGTTTAGAGGAACATTATCATATTTTGCAAGTTTATATTACTGTTTTATATATATTCTTAATAAAAAAGTATTATACTGCTTACATATGGTCTACTTTTCAGAATGTTTGTTTTATTTTGCTGGAGTATGCTGATGAAATCGTTTTCATGTTTTGCAAACATGAAATTTACCACCAATTGATATTAGTGCTGTTTTACAAGCAACAAAGCAATCAATATCCTTAAAAGGGTTATTAAAATGCTAGAACTAAAAGGGTGATCGATGTTTAAGCTAAATTGGTATACACCGTCTTCAGTGACAAATCCAGGAACACTTAATCAACTATGAAATGTCAGGAAAAGTACAGTTTTTCAATACAGCTGTCACTGGTCCAGCTTCAAGAGTAGTGATGTCCCGACAGGTTCGCCGCGGACGGCGAACATATGACCCTGTACCTCAGTCAGCAGACACATTCCAGCCAATCAGCAGCAGACACTCCCTCCCAGACCCTCCCACCTCCTGGACAGCTCACTAAGAATGCAGCTTCAAAATGGATGCTGTCCAGGAGGTGGGAGAGTGTGGGAGGGAGGGTCTACTGCTGATTGGCTGGAATGTGTCTGCTGACTGTGAGGTACAGGGTCATATGTTCGCCGTCCCCGGCGAACCGTTCGGGACATCACTATTCAAGAGTAATGTTGATCTTATTTGAGACATTATGCTAAAAAAAAACTGTAATGTTTTATTTAAATATTAAGTTCTATTATCCCAGCCATACAAATTAGGGAAAAAATATTCATCTAAGCAATTCATTTTCTGCACCGCTTATTCTGTAAATCCGAGATGGGGAATTAACTTACCTATCTACACATTGGTTAAAGAGGGGGTCACAAGAATTTTCCCATTTCTGAATCAATACACTCAACCAATCATCAAACAAACCTTTTTGCATCCTACCCTTTGCTTATTTCCATCTTTAATAATGTACCCAATCCATTCTTCAAACTCTTACGCCCACAAACAAGAAGAACCTTTTAAACTACACCTTTTAAACACAGGTTTAGCCTCTTACTCCATATCTAATCTCTATTGCTTAAATGTGGTATTATTGAACCTTCCGAATATAAGATAGATATAAACCAGTAGTCGACACACCTCTCCCATCTAGGTGTAGTGGCACTCTTTGCAACATATTGCATTTTAATGAAAACTACAAATACCAAGATATATCTCTGAAAATCAAGCATCACACATCTCCCTATACCTGATAATTATTGTTTAAAGGTAAATTAAACTCTGTTTCATGTTTTAGATGTTACCAGCCCTCTGGAAACCTCAACCTAATCAGGAAACGAAGGGTATTTTTCTGTTCTTTGGAGAGCTACCCTTATTCAATAAAACCCTGTTCAACAGGTGTTATGGGATACGTAGTTTAAGGAGGAAGAAGGAATCAAGGAAGAATTCAACTTATCAGTGAATAAAAACTGCCATAAGAACATGTGTTATCACTATAAACACAAACCAGTTCTGTATTAAGTGATCTAGGGAGAAGATTGTTGTACAAAATTGATATCAGTTTGCATATCAAGTGTGCAAAATTGACTGAGAGCAACAGCATTTTTTTTTTTACAAAAAATTGTTGCAGTTCTAAGAAAATCACAGAGCTGAGAGTGAGTATAGTTTATTCGCTAGACTATGAACTTTCCAAATTGCAAATTCAGTGATAAAAAAAAAAAAAAAGGAAAAGTTGACAGGGAGAACAACTGCTGGTGTGCATGGTTTATCCGCTTTCATTACATCTAGTGTCTTTTGTTATTTGAATCAGTAAAATAATCATCACTGATAGTATACTACAACACTTCCTTTTTTCTTTATTTTCTTTCGGTTCATGAAGATGTTTTACATAAATCAGATGTATTTTGGAAATACATAATATTCTATCATTTGCTATGCTTTCAAAACTCAAATATAGAACAGTAGCTTTGATATTAGAAAAATAGCCTTCATATATGCTCTCCTATTTATCTTAATTGCACATTTTAATATTTTAAATTTGTCTTCTTTTTGTTATTATTATATCCCTCAATAATATGAAAAATGTATTTATACTTATCGTAATTTTCTATTCCTGGCTATTATTCATGGCAGCATTTAACTAATGGGTTTGCTCCTTCCTCCAGCCAAAGGAAAAACAAAGAGTTAGGTAGGCAGGTATAAGAGTACTCCCATCATGCCCTGCACCTCAGTCCAGTAACAAGATAATATATAAAAAAAAAAATGGGGGGCGGGGGGGAAGGGAACTCAAATGCTGCCATGAATAATAGCCAAGAAAAGAAAATTACGGTAAGTATGAATACATTTTCCATATTCCTGGCTAATCATGGCAGCATTTAACTAATGGGAATACCCAAGCAGTAAGAAATTTACACAGGGCAGGAATACATGCCAAAAAATTATTTATTAACTTAAGAGGAACAAGACCTCAAAACTGATAAACCAAACTGTGAGTCAGAGGAGTCAACAACATCCACCTGATAATGGCGGACAAACATCTTGAGAGAGGACCAATTAGTCGCTTTGCATATGCTCTCAGCTGGTACCCCAGCCTCTGCAGCCCAATAAGTGAAAATGGACCTGGTAGAAGGACCTTAGGTACTGGAAGCCCTTAAATTTTATAGGCTTTGGAAATATCTGAAGTAACACAGGCACAGAGAGTGGCAACCGAGGCTTCTTCACTTTTATGAGTCCCCCAAGGCATAATGAGCAATTGATCCGATTTCCTCCATGGAGCTGTTCTTTGGAAACAGAGCCAAAGACATCGCTTGAGATCCAACTTGTTTCAGAGGGGGGTAGGAAAAAAGTCTGGCAACACAATTTCCTGGTTGATATTGACACAACCTTTAGGAAGGAACTCCGATCTGGGACGAAGAACCCCTCTGTTGTGAAAGAAGGTGGTGTATAAATCTTCCACAGACATGGCCTTAATGTCTGCCATACGTCAAGCAGAGACCATGCCCAACAGTAGCAGAGATTTGAGTAAGCAATGTGATAGAAATATCCTCTAGGGGCTCAAAGGGTGCTTCAGACAATTTATGTAGAACCAATGGAGGGTCCCACGCAGCAGAGTAGGTGGTCTGATAGGAGGTTTAACCTGAATAACCGCCTTACAAAACCTGATAACCACATAATTTTCAGCCCATCTAATGCCTGACATGGCAGATGTGGCAGAACAGTGCACCTTGCGAGTACTGAGACTGAGTCCCCTATCCAGGCCTGATTGTAAAAATCCAAGGACTTGTGAAGAAGAAATGGAACTCAAAGACTGAACATCAGATTTCAACCAATCCGCAATTGCATGCCATATCTTGTGGTAGTACTAGAGGTTGAAATCTTCCTAGAACATAAAAGTGTGGACACCACATTTTCTGGAAATCCTTGCGAAATTAGCAACTGCCTCTCAAAAGCCAAGCCTGCAACCTGAGTTTGTGGGGTTCCGGATGAAGTAGAGGTCCCTGTGATAACAGATTATCTGACAGAGGGAGTTCCCAAGGTTGGTCGATCATAAACCTCTGTAGTAGCGGGAACCAAGGACATCGAGGCCATAATGGGATGATGGCAATCACCTTGCACCTCATCTTGGAGATCATTTTGAGACCCGCATGAATCAGAGGGATAGGTGGGAAGATGTAGGCCATCGTGAACTTCCATATGAAAAGTAATCCAGGCACTCCAAAAGTCTTCCAAAAGTAGGCAATTTTATTGGACCCAAGAACCAAAATACACATTTCGACCCCTTGAGGTCTTTATCAAGCTTGATAAAGACCTCAAGGGGTCAAAACATTGCATTTTGGTTCTTGGGTCCAATAAAATTGCCTACTTTTGGAAGATTTTTGGAGTGCCTGGATTACTTTTCATATTTAAATTCTACATTTGGTCCTGTTTGGTACTGGGACCGATCCGGTTAGCACCTAGGGATTCCTGCGAGGGTTGAGTGCAGTTCCACAACTGTTATATGGATATCTTGAACTTCCAGTCCACTGACAAAGCATCTTGGGCCATTGTCTTTGGATTAAACTATCTTGATTTGAACTTTGGAACCTGGGCATTCCCTGCTGTAGCCATAAGATCCACCCACCTGGGGAGTTCCCCATCTCTGGACCAACTGTGTGAAGACTTCTTTGGACAGCTGCCATTCTGTCTCCTCCACTTAACAAAGGCTTAAAAAGTCAGCCACCGTGTTTTCCTTCACTGGGAGAAAGATTGCACATAGCCCCGCTAGGTTCAGTTGTGCCTAAGACATTATTGGGGGAATCTCTTTCTTCAATGCACCGCTTTTGCTGACTCCGTGATGGATTATATAAGCTACAGCTGCTTTGTCTGCCAATCTCAGCTTAACCCTTTGGTTTCGAAGACAAGGCTTGAAGTGTAGCATGGCCAAGAAGGCCGCCCTCAATTCTCTGATGCTGGTAGGTAAATGCCGAACTCCTGTACAAGCATCTTCCCGAAGTGGGCACCCCAACTGGACTGGCTGGCATCTGTGGTTATTATTAACCAATCTATTTCCTTCAATGGAAATCCCCTGGACTGGTGATTCCATTCCAGCCACCACTTAATTTGTTTTTTCAGATGACTTGGAATGTGTAGAAGTTTCTCACATTCCTGAGAGCTGGACTCAAAGTTTTCCGGGAAATATGTTTGGAGAGGACAGACATTGTATTGGGCCCACCTGACTAGACCTATGGTCGAAGATAGGGTACCCAAAAGCTTCATAAAATCTCTCGCCGGAGCAGAGATCCTTCTGATTAACTTCCTTAAGCATTCCAGAAGCTTGAGTTTTTGTTTGTGTGCCAGAGAGACTACAGCAGAACGGGTGTTGAAATTAGCCCCTAGGAAGATTATTTCTATGGTAGGAGTCAACTGACTCTTCTCCATATTAAGCAGCCATCCAAAATGAGAGAGTGTCTGGATTACCAGTGACCTCTGTTGCAGCAAAAGGTTGTATTCTGGTGTTACAGCCAGAATGTCGTCCAGGTCATGGAAGACCGCCACTCCTTGATTCCTCAGCAAGGCGATGTTAGTGATTAACACCTTCGAGCAGGTTCTTGGTGTCATGCTGATCCCGAAGGGTAGAGACCGGAGCTGAACATGTTGATTGCCTACACAGAATATAAGGAACACTTGATGGGTAGTGGCCACAGGTATCTGGAAGTAGGTGTCTATCAAATAAACTGAAATCAACCAATCCCCTGGATGGATCACAGGAATGATGGACCTCAGTGATTCCATCCAAAAACTTCTTATTTGAAGAAAGATATTCAACTGATGTAATTCCAAAATGGGCCTCCATTGTTTTGCTTACCAGTAAAAGCAGGGAATAGAATCCCAGAAAACATTCTTGTTTTGGGACATGACAGATGACTTCCTGTTGAAGTAGGACAGAGACATACTGCATTAAGGCTTTCCTTTTTTGAGGATTAGCCAAGATTCTTTTTCTTATAAATTGAGGTTGGGGCAGTACCTCTTCAAATTCTAGGGTGTAACCTGAAGAGACTATGGCCTTTACCCACATATCCGGAATTACTTCCCAGGCATCCTGGAACCGCAATAATCTGGCGCTTACCAGT